CGCTCTGGTGATCAGGCCTTTGTTTTTAAAACGTTACCCATTGATTTTACTACGGCATTGACCCGTAGAAACAATGAATAAATTGTTTAGCAAAATCAATGTTTCAGAAAAGCACTTTCGTTTTCAACAATATACTGCTGCCATTATTCTGCATTTAAACACAACTGAACATTTAAAACAGGTATGGGTTTTTGTTAACAATTTAATTAAGAGAAAATCTGTTTAAATAAACCAAGAAGCAACCAGCTTGTATTTAGTTTTATGGTAAACCATTTCGTACAATTCATAACCAAAGGTTTGAATCTATAAATATTATTTCTTATTTAGTTATAAAAATGTAACTTATCGATTGATGATTCACTTAATGTTATTAATGTTATTGTCATCTCTCACTTGTAGTTTAATGCCACTTGCTAGATTTTATTACGACATGTAATTTCCATCTGTGATATAACTTCCTGTCCATGAACGGTCTGTTTAGTACTATTAGAACTTGACCCGACAAACTCATCATTGAGCAGGGGTGGATCTTTATCGTGCCGACGCTAGTTGTGACAGGAATACTCTGTTCTAAAGTCATCATGCACAAAACAATGTTAATGAAAAGAAAACAGCTTAATGAAAATAAAAATTTTAACAAAATTCGTATATTTCAGCAAGCTTCTTACTGATCATAAACGGGTGCTCATTGTCTAATATTTCTTCAGCGGTTGTTACAAACACCAGAGAAGAATACTTAAATTTCGAATTCGATTCTTCTTTAAAAGTGTTGTTTTTTTACACACACTATTTAGTGCAAGGCAATTATGAGTACCAAATGATATCACTGAGCTGAAAACGGAAACACTTCTAAATTTTAACAAAGATAAAAATATATTAAAATATATCCTGTGCACTCAAAATAGCATGTATTTGTTTGCGAGAATCCACAACGTTTAATATAATCTAGTGTTTCATAATCACAGGCAGAACTTTTATATTTACAGAACCATAATTCAGATCAGAATGAAATTTGGCACACATGAAGTCATACACATGTTCTATAAATAGCATATGTAATGGAATATTTTTTCCCGTCTTTGTGACGTCACAATGTGAAAATGACATCATAAGGTAGATCACTTGTGACTAAAAATGGTTGACTCAGTCGTACTCGAGAAGCGAACGGCTGTAAAGTTAAACGTATATTTTGGAAATTCCTTTGTAGAAGCTTATAATAATTTGTATACGGTTTATGAAGAAAAACTACTTTCCAAAAGTATTGTCATTGATTGGATTGATTGCTTAAATAAAGGAAGGGAGATGTTTAAATATGATGTTTGTTCTGTTGCCCAGTAAATGCAAACTGGGAGAGAGACGTGTCTTTCTTTAAGCGATTTGATAAAAAAAGATAGCCAACTTACAATAAAAAGAATAGATGAATATCTGAACAATAATATAATTATCAAATCCCTAAAATATCGTTTACTTTAGACTTTAAACATATCAGATATGATATAAGTGAAGGCACCTATACTTTATCCACATGAAATAAACGACGCTCAAAAGACAGAAGACTTGGGTTTTGATGGTTACCATGTCCATTCTGCAAAAAGATATCATTATTCACCCATACGTTCGTTGAGATTAAGACAATTGCTGACAAATGGACTGTTTTTGTTTCAAAAAATAACCTGCATGGTGAGCAATCGGAGTTCCTCGGATGACTCATGCCTCGCACATAACCTCGGACGTCAACGGTGATCTTCCATCTTGCTGATTCAGTCATGTGATCTTATTTGAACTTCATTCAAATATTATACTTTAGAAATCCGAGTTACTTTGATGCACGCCCAAGACTGTGTTCTTGCTTTCAAAGAATACTTACATTTGGTTGTAATTAGCACGAGGAATTACACAAATCAAGAAACCTTTTCTAAGAACTTTAGGCAGAGCGAAATATGAAATGAGTGACAAGGCAGTTTCCGGCGGAGAAATGTAGCGATCTGATGCGTATTCCTCCACCTATCACATCCGAGGTTTGAATGGAGCGTAGCGGAGTCAGCCGAGGATTGCCGATTGCATGGTAAGAGATATGAAAGTCTGAAAAAAATTAGTCTTTTGTGACAGAAGCTTGTCACATGACCGCAAATATCATGTGATCCGCACATGGGCAGAATGGTTGCAGATGTGCATTAAAATTGGAGAGGACTACGTTGAAACATTTTCACACTGAAACCCTATATCAATATATTTGTGAGAGTTATTCAATTAGTTCGCGAACTTTTTGATCACCCCTCGTATTAACAAAATAAATATTGATGTAAAACAGACATATAAGTTAGAGCAAATTTTTTTCGGTTGATCAATGTCTCATATTAATAACTTACATACAAAACCCAAATTTTAGATTAATGGAATAATCTTCAGTGGAAAATAAGAATAGGCGATAGTTATTTAAACTACATGTATTTGTTTAATGTTAAACTACAAGTATTTGTTCGATGTTTTAGAGGTTCGTGTTTGCTCTGCTCCTATTTTTGTATTGTTTTATGGACTCTGATATTTAATACTGTCCGTTATCTCCATATCCTTTTTTTAAATAGATATCATGCTACCTAAATTAAGTCCCTCAATTTGAAAAATATGTTCATTAAAGCTTCGTAATTATGTTATTAGTGGTATATTCCCCATGTGTAAAAAAGGAAGAGAATATAAACCATTTTTCCATGTACAAAAGTACAAAATAACTACTGAGAATAATTGTCCACTTAGAAGTATTCGTGATTAGTAGATGTAACGAAAAAACGAATGGTATTCACACTCAAAAGTCCATTTAGCTTAAACAATACAAACAAAATTGGATTAGAGTAAACCTCCAAAGCATCCGATATGGGATCAAGTACCATCTATTGCCAACCGGTCGGACTTGCCCGATGCTCCTTGTCATAATGGGGAAAACGGAGAAGAATCCATCTTATACATGATCATATCTTTTTTGTAGTTCTTTTTGCATGTAAAAGCTGTTTTTCCTGCGATGTTTTCCTCTTCGATCGATCATGTGTTGTAATCTATATAATAATTCTGGCTAAAGCATTACACTACGTACTTAAAGAATAAGGCTCTGTCTAGTATTTTGGTTTCATGTGATCAATCGAGTAGCTTGATTGATTATTTGCATAAACGATGAATAAAATTATCATGATTGCCAACCGATTGATCATTGTCATGAAACAGGGATCTACATACCCGGTGCACCAAAAGGAAAATTCTTGACCTTATCCGACGTTAAAAACTTAAAACAAGTACTTTTTCTCAACAAAGTCACCGTTTAATTAACTCAGTATATTTCTCATGCCCTTTTAACCAGTCATAAAAATGTGCACAAAATGTTCAGTTTTCATACGTGAAAACATATTTAATCTGACTCATATCCTGCAATCATCGAACCTCTGTTCGCGTAAAAACGATTTTATTTTAGGAAATACGGCACGTAACTTTAAGAAATTCATTGTGTACAGCACTGCAATCTAGGAATGATGGTTTTCCTCCACGAATGTCATCCTGTAAACTGTTCCTTCTGTCCGAAAATATTATATAGCTCTTAAATACTAATGAACAGCTTCTTTAACTGTGTTTTCCCGAATGTTTACAGAATGTATTGGTCTCTGTAGGTGTTTTTTTTTCTGATGTATACTCATAATTTTTTCACTGCCCACTGCTCCACCTATGCCGAAAACGTCCCTTTTTGACGAATTCCAATCCTGTCTTAATGTTCTAACTTTGATTGCTCGGCCATTTTGAAACTTTGAAAGTTCAGATTTTGCAAGTTTGATGTGCTAACTTCTGTCAACCTCATAATGTTAAAGTCAGGAAGATTTCCGCAGAATTTTATAAGATACTAAATTAAATGTAATCTATAAAAATAATAAGTAATTTTTAATTAAAATTTTGCGGTGCTCTAGGTCTCCATTCTTAGTCTAATTAAGAAGCCACAATTGTAATTAAACATTTGAATTTGAATAAAATTTTTCATTTTTCAATTCACATTAAGTAAAGGATGAATAAAATATTAATAATTAGTATCAATGACACAACTTTTATTTAATTTTTAGCTTGTCCACGAACTTTACGGACAACCCTCGTATGTTAATAATAAATATCAATGACACCATCTTTCTTTAAATTTGAGCTTGTCCACGAACTTTACGGGCAGCCCTCGTACATGTAATCTTTATCAAGAATAATTGAAGATATTTTTTCATATTTAAGGTATTGACGTAAAATGGCCTGTAGGAAACCAAATCAATCTTCACCAAGCCTGAGAACTTCCAAGTGCTTCATAACAGTATTCCTGGCGTTTTCTTTGATGGTAGGAATTAAAAAAAGAAATATTCTATAATTTGGGAGAGCATTGTTTTTATTTTTCTTTCTAATGCAAGTTTTTCGGTGAAACTCTGCATAATTATATGTTTGACAAGCACTAAAAGAATTAAATGTTAAAGAGATAGTTTACAAATATCATTTCTTCTTTCGAATAGTTTGAGAGAAATCTATGTCTAACCCTTTATATTGTTTTAGATTTTTTGTTCTTGTTACGATGAGGAGTTTTGCAGTGAATCACGCGCTACAATGGAAGAAGTGCAGACATGCCCTTATAGCAAATCGATGTGGGATACAGAAGCAGTGAAGAAAAACTGTTCATCCTTTTCACATAAATGTTCCAGTGCACTTTTCTACCACTGTCTAATAAATCCTTGGCAAAACAAAACCATTAAAGTTTGTGCACCGCGTACAAGGATAGGCTTTGGTATGTACATGTTCTATTATTTTTTCCTCTCTGGCTTTGCATTATTAATTCCTGAAAACGCATTGTGTATTATTATCAAAAAAAAGAAAAGACGCCGATGATTGTCTTTAATGTTTTGAAGGAGTATGCGCTGAGTATAATGCAGTAGGAGGAAGGATACAGGATTCATACCCAAACAAGTGTTCTGCTTGTAAAAACAACTATGGTCAACCGATGCATATAAATGTAATGTATATTAAGAGTGTATCCTAGTATTAATTTAAATCTATTGCCCTTTTCTATTAACTCGATATGGATAAATGAAATGATACACACATATCGTCGAATTAAGAACACGAACACTGTAATCTTTAATGTGTAGTTCTTTTAAAACCAGTTATAGATCTTGTTTTTGTAATATACATGAACTTGTGTATTTTAGATACTGAATGTTATGAAGCTGTATACCGTCGTCGTACCAAGAATGTTAGCAGGTAAATGTTATCATGGTTTCATTTGTGTGTTTTAATTGCCTTTAACAACAAAAAGTCACCTTTTTTAACATCTGAAAATGATTTCAATTGTATTATCATTTCAAATTTAATAAATAATTTACTTATCTAAAACTTTCTAAAACTCAAACTTTAAATATATTTATACATTATCAACCAACCTGCAATAAAACACATATTCGGGTATACGTTAAGGAAGCATATATGTCATTTTTCGGGAAATTTAGACTTTTTAAAGAAAATTAAGTTTGATAATTTATCGAAATCGCTGATAAACGTAAACTATTGTTGATTATTTATTAAGATAAAAGAGTGTCTAACACAACGACGTGCTCCGCCACCACGGCATCACGTGACTTCTATAAAAAGAGAAATTTTCCTTGATAAAAGAGGTAATAGAACAACAGTATCGCAAGTTTATTAATTTCTTTGAGTATATAATATGGTTGAAAAACACCTATTTTGCCTTAAAAAATGCTGCTAGAATCCCACCGTCTCTTCATTAAAATAATTATTCCTCACATTCGCACAAAACCTTACCCGATGTTTTGAATTTTTTACATATAAACCGAGATTTTCGTAAAACCATGCTCAACTCGGGATTCTAGCAGCACTTTCAAAGTATTTTAGGAGGCAAACTTTCCATCTGTACAAATCTTATATTTTGAAATATACAGCTTATTGTTGTTCTGTTGCATTATTTTTTGTCACAAATGACAGAGGAAAGGCCGACCGGGATACGTATGTAGTTGACTGTCTACGAAAGAGAATATAATCGATGAAAATAAATTAGAATACCTGTTTAATTAGCTGAATTACATATGAATTTCACAAAATATTCACGATATTTGCTTTTAAACCCCCTTTTACATATCTGTGTACATGCCGTCTTAGCCAAATTCTCGTGACACGACATGATCAATCCCAATGTTACTTGATGTACACATATGACGTCATCGGTGGTAGATTTAATCAATTTGACAGAATACCGCATAACAAAATAAGAACATTTCATTTTTGTTTATTTTTACACGTTTCTATTCATTTTCTGGAGTTAAATTACATCTCTAAATACCAATATTATGAAAGCTTGTGTTCTAGAATTTTCTCGTCTACTATGACGCCATAATGTAGCACTGATTTAGTCAAGGTATAGAATAATTTGTATGCTTCCTTATTCCCCCTGCGTATCTTCATTGTTTGTCCCTGAATCATAACATGATTTTATTTATACTTCTAATTTGATTCTTTTTATATATATGCAGATACGAAACACTAAGTTTCAATGACTTGGTAAACGGGGCAGATTCGACTACAGCCTGTCTAAGACTTTGTGTTATTTTTATCTTCATGTATGTGTAACGCTTCGGTATTTTATAAAACAGTGCATGTAATTATCATCATGAAATAAAAAAAAAACAGTTCTTCTATATGTTGAAATGAAACCTACGTACATATCTTGCATTGTTTCATCCATGACATATAAATTATATTAAAACGTAAGGTTACACTTTACTTTTCGGGACAATTGTTAAATTTTTTTCTTGCCAAAATTATAAGTTGTTTTACATATCTATTCATGTGGTTGTCCTTCTAAAACGTGTGTGTGTTCAAAACTATCTAAGGATATGAAACCTGTAGCTTTTTTAGTTTGTTTAACTACAGGCCTTTATTTTTTAAATTTAAATAGATTTCATAACATACAGTTTTCATTTCAGGCCCTTGACATTAATGCACAAAACGAATATCCTTACAGCATATACCATGTACGCCCTCAAACGCATAGCTACTAATTTTAAAAAAAGAGGAAAAAGCTATACTTCATTTCTATTATCTTTAAAGTGCGAATTCTTTTAATATTGAGTATAAAGATATGAAAACTACCTGAGAAATGTTGATAAAATTTGAATTTGTTAAAATTCTATAAAAACTCACAATCATCTCTAATAATTATTGCCAAAAAAAGGGTAAACCTCCATCTTTTACAGAAGACAAAAGAACAATTCCAGTAATATAGACCAGAAAACAAATAATATTTACATGTACTTCTCTGGATTTCATAACCAGGTAGTCTTGGGCAGTTAACGTGTCCGATGTATTTAGTCATGCTTTTAAGATTGCCATTAGACTTCATATTGTTTCAAACGAAGACTAGAATAAAGTTTTGTTTGGTTGTTTGTTTTTTGTTTTGTATATAAAAAGAAGAGATAATCACAAGCAACAGCTGTATGGTGTCAACAAATAAGCATTTAACTTGGGTATATAAATTTGAATGATAATGATACAGTCCATGCAGTTACAAATTATTTAAAAGGTTTCAGACTCGATATATATAAACAAGCAAATTAAGAGAATTTGTGAACCCTGCTGAAAGGAAAAAAGATGAGAATTTTCAGATTGAGGGGTCGACCCCCTCCCTTCCCCGGATTTGCAGAATTGTTAAATAATGTACTGAAGCAAGAAAAAAAAATGCCAATATAAATATAAAGATTTGACTGATTATTTTTTATATACGCACCAGTAAATATATATATCAAGATTCTTTTAATTAATTTAAAATTTTTATAACAAAATTCCATACGAAAATATACAGTTATTGTTATCAGGATCAAGTAAATTGGACAAAATATACTCAAGATTTTTTTAATTCTCTTTGTTATGAAGAAGAAAATGTAATGTCATATTTTTTGTGTGTGCATTTTTATGCTTCCATATAAATATGTTTTTATGCTTTTATATAAATATATATATTTCTAAATTAAATGCAACAATTGATTATCTTATATGTGTTACTAAGCCTGAAAAAAAGACCGAATTTAAATATTTAATCAGTTTAAAATTAAAGCCACAGGTAAAAAAGTGACAATGAGTTACCGTTCATACATGTAACAGCACACCACTAGCGGCAGCTTGACAGTTGACTTTATTTTCTTGTAGATCCGATTAACA